TGTTTGTGTCTAGCTGGCAGAATTTGCTGGCAGACTACACATGGTTGTGAAAGAGAGGGGTGAAGGACACCCCCAAAGTTTTCAGCCTGAACCCGTCCAAGAATAAGGAGGCCACTGATGGGAAGGAAGTCAAGGGAGGAAGAGTTTGAGGGGAGACTACTGGGAAGTCCATTAGCGATCCAAGTGGAGACATCAAGGAGACAGCTGGGTAGAGAAGTCTGGAACCCAGGAGCAAGAGCTGGGCTGGAGATAAAAACGTGGGAGTCATCTGAGGTGGTATTTATAGCAACGAGACTGAGATCACCCTGGGAGGGAATGTGGAGAGCAAGGTCCCAGGCCAGGCTCTGGAGCTCTCAAATGAATAATTATCAGGTAATAATTACCATCATTTTATTTCTTGAAGCATCTGGCACAGTGCCTGGCCCTCCGTACAGGTTCTCTGAATGGAAGAGAACACGACGACCCATTACTAACCCCCATGCTTTCCCTGCTAATCAGCATTTGGAGTCTACCTCAGCAGGAGAGCAGGCAGTTAGAATCCCTCAGGTAAGTGGGAATGAAAACACTCTTTAGGAATTTTCCAGAACCCGGGATGGAACTTTACTATCACTTGCAGAAGGAAAATCAGGCTGTCTTAAAAGTCCCACTCCAAAAGGGAACATTCTTACTGGCACAAAATTCCATGTTCCACAGACCCCCGAGTTCTGAGCTGCCACCACTCCCTCCTAATCCATCCTCCACTCTCCCGCCCTGAGTCTCCTGAGCTCCAGCTGTTTTCCTTTTTCTCATATAGGGTGAACTTTAAAACCTGGGGTTTGCTCTGTGGGGGACACACACATTTACTCCTTCAGTCTCTCATCCGCTCCAGATCTGTGACCTCAGTCTGACTCTGAATACAGCCTCCACCATCTTGCTCCCCACCCTTGAGAGCGGCAGCCCCAAAATAGCAGCATGAATCATTCTGGAACGGTCGGGTAATACAAGGCCAGGGCACCCTTCTGTGGCAGCGCCTCTGCTGGTGTTCCAGGGCTCTGGGGAGGGGGACACTGGCCGGCTACCGTCATCTCCTCCCCATCCGATTCCAGAGGGCTCTCTGAGTCCACCAAAAGGTTTGAAAGCCCAAGTTGGTGAAAAGTGTTAAGAGTTATCATTTCTGGGGGCACCTGGGTGGCTCAGTGGGTTAAAGCCTCTGCCTTCGGCTCGGGTAGTGTTCCCGGGGTCCTGGGATCGAGCCCCGCATTGGGCTCTCTGCTCAGCGGGGAGCCTGCTTTCTCCTCTCTCTCTCTCTGACTGCCTCTCTGCCTACTGTGATCTCTATCTGTCAAATAAATAAATAAAATCTTTAAAAAAAAAAAGAGTTAACATTTCTGAATGTCAGAGGGGCTTTACTGTGACCCTGAATAAGCTTTAGGGGTCCCTGATTCCCATCTCTTGTAGTTTTCTTTCCTCAGAGGGGGCTTTCCAAATTTTATGTTTTGGGTCTGAAGAGACTTGAAGATGGGTGATTTTGTTCAAGTCTCATAGTAACCTTGAGAAGTCATGGGCACTTCATCCCCATTTATAAGCAAGGACCCCGGAGCATAGAAGAGCCTTCTTTGGGTTCCTTGAAAATTTCAAGCTTGTTTTATCCTCAGGGCCTTTGCACTTTCTGTTGTCCTGTCTGGAGCCCTGTCCTTGGCTGGCTTCTTGTCATTCCAGGTCTCAGGGGTCTTCACTAACCACCCACCTGCAGGAGCTCCTTCCTTCCCTGCTTCCCCTTTACCCCTTACCTTCGGCCTTTTTTTTTTTTAAATAGCACTCACCACTATTTTCATTTCTGTATGTTTTTATTTAACAAATGCATACAATGTTTTCTCTGTAGTAGGCAGTGTTCTACGAGCATTACAAATACCAAACAATTTAATCCTCACGACTACTCTGACATCAAAACTGTTTCACCGGGGCGCCTGGGTGGCTCAGTGGGTTAAAGCCTCTTCCTTCGGCTCAGGTCATGATCCCAGGGTCCTGGGATCGAGCCCTGCATCAGGCTCTCTGCTCAGCGGGGAGCCTGCTTCCTCCTCTCTCTCTGCCTGCCTCTCTGCCTACTTGTGATCTCTGTCTGTCAAATAAATAAATAAAATATATTTTTAAAAAAACTGTTTCACCCACATTTTAAAATGGAAACAAAAGAAACAGAGATGTTAAGCAGGTTGCCTGGAGTCACAGAGCTGATGAGTCTAACAATCATCTCTCCCACTAGAAGATAAGATCCACAAAGCAGAAACTGCCTTTGTGAGCTGTTTTGTTCTCGTCGAGCCGCTGCACCCAGAGTAGGGTGCCACACGTACCAGGACTATATAAAAGATGTCAGTGATGATGAAACCAGGTTACAGACAAGGGGGAATGGGAAAGAAGCCTGGAGAGAAGCGTGGGGAGATGGCGGAGGAGCTCCTCTGGGGGGCAGTCAAGAGCGTAGTGGTCTGGAGACAGAGCCAAGAAGAAATGAAAGGTCTTGCCAGCACGCGGAATTCAGCAGACGAGTAAGATGCCAAAAGTAAGATGCTAAAATCACCTTTCTTCCTTCTTGAGTTCAACCCATCAATAGATGCTGTTGGCTTCTCCAAAAGTTGGAACCCAACTGTTCTCACCCCTCCTCCGGTTCCACTCTGGCCCACAGCATTGTTACCACTCTCCTGGAGCATGGCAATAGTGTCCTGAGAGGTCACCTACACTGCAGCCAGAGGAGTCCTGATAAAACTGTGTCAGATCATGTCCCTTTTCTGTTCAAATCGTGCTGGCATGAAAACAACGGCCTCTCGGCCCACAGGACCCGGCTCCTGCTTCCTCTTGGCCCTGCTCTCCAACTCCCTCCCTGCTCCCACTATCCTGGCCACCCCAATGCAGCTCCCGCCCCAGGACCTTTGCATGTGTTGTTCCAAGTTCATGGGTCTTCCCCATTAATTTCCATTCATCTCACTCCCTTACTTCCTCAGGTCTTTGCTCAGATCTTAGCTTCTGAGATTTGCCTAAGCCATCTTATTAAAAATGCAACACCATCCTCCTCGCCCAAGGCTCCTTAATCCTTTCTCTGCTTCATTTTTCCCCACTGCACTTAGGCAGATATAATATGCTATAAGCTTTTTTGGTGTGTCTGTCACTAGAATGAGCACCAAGTGACTTCTGTCAGGTTTGTTCACAGCATTTTCTCCAAAGCCCACAATCGCATGACACATTCGATTATACTCGATGGATTAATGAACACCTACTATGTGCCAGACTCTGTGCAAGGCTCCTGGAAGGCACAAAGGAAAACAGACATGAGGTCCCTGTGTCCTAACAAAAGGTGGGAATGACATCCAAGTTGCTGGTTTAATTTGTGACTGGACACACACATAGCCAACAGTGCAGTAAAAGCAAGTAACAAGCAGAACTTAGTGTCCTTGTTGGACTGAGACTGTTAAAGAACCCTGACTGCTCATCTTAGCCTGAAAAGACCGAATTAACCTGGCAGAGTTGGTGGAAGGGGGACGCCAGCAGAGGGACCAATTTGTAGGCAGGCCCAAAGGGAAGGAGCCCACCTAGTGTAATGAACAGAGAGGTCAGCGGGCTAGAATTCCATGAAGACGGAGGACAGGGAAAAAGGCCGTATTAAGTGGGACTGCCAGAGAAGACGGGCCCTGAGCCCCAATCTAAAGCCTCCCAGAGCTTTAAGCAAGGGATGTGGATGTGCAGTAGCTCTGGTGGCAGTGTTGAGAAAGGATCAGGGACAGCGGGGCTAGAAGAGGAAGCTGTGGACACGAGCTACTGCCAAGCAGTGGGCACTTAAAACCCTGGGCAGGGACGGCATGACCCAGTGGGAGGATGGCAAGGACAGCACTCCCCAAGACCCTCATCCAAACCCTCTCCAGACCTGGCATGCGGCTTCTTTGTTCCATGAAGCACCCACCGGTCCAGGAGGAAAAGCAGCCTCTCTCTTCCAAGCCCTCAGCCCTTCCGCATCCCCGGGCGCTATCGCACGTGCGAGGCCCAACCAGGCTGCCGCCGCCGCCAGCAGGTGGGCAAGCACCTCACTCGTCTTTGTTCCCCGTCCCCCTGCACCTCCGAATAAGGGCGGCAGCTCCCGCTCACCGAGCGCTAAAGACGCGACTGCATGAAGGGAAACCTCCCACGGCCCTAAACGACCAAACCCGTGACACTAGCGGGTCACACAGAACTTGATGGATGCGTCCCCACCGAAGGGACCCGGGGAGAGAACCCGGGCTGTCCCACCCAAACCCCAGCTCCTTCGCTCTTCCGGGCTACTCGGCGCCTGAAAGCGGGCTCTGGGGCCGTCCCGGCCAGGGCGCTCTCCCGAGGTCCACCCAGACGTCACCCCCACCGGCTGGGACCCCCGAGCGGCTCTGCGCCGCCGCAGAGGAGCGAGTCGTCAGGGCAGGACTCGCGGCCCACGGAGGCTGGAAGCGGCCCGTAGGCCGGGGCACCGACGGCCACCGCGGCCACCGCGGCAGAGAGCGACTCTGGCCGTGAACTCCCATAAGCCACTGCAGAGACAAAACCCCTTCCACTGCCATTAGACGGGCTGCCACTTAAACCTATCAGCGCAAAGTGGCGGTGATTCTCCGCCCAATCGGCATCTTTATTTAATCTGAGGGCGGTGCGATCATGGAGTCAGTCAGCCCAATGGGAGAGGTGGAAATTTCCAGAAAGAACGGGACCAATGGGCCCGGCCAGAGCAGGCACGATTGACGGACCAAGCGGCCAGTCCCTGTCGCATAAGCTCGCCCCTCCCTCCAATCGTAGAACCTGGGGTGGGCGGGGCCTGCCGGGAAGAGTCCAATCCGAAGGCGCGGGGGAGGCAAGGCTGAGGGATTACTCTCAACTGCCCAATGACAGAGAAGCAAAGATGATGGGCTAGACTTCAAGCCAATAGTAGGGAAGCACATAAAGCCCCCTCGGGGAGCGTAACCAGTGAGCAGGCGAGGAAGAGGCGGGATCCGGGGGTCCCGGCAGCTTCTAGTAGGTTCCAGAAGGCGGCGCGTGCGGTTGGGAACGCGGAGCGGACGGAGTCGATTCAACGGGGTTCCGGGCCGGGCTATGGAGCAGGTGAAGGGGGAGGGGCGGGCCAAGGCCCTGGGGCCCCTCGGACACCGGCCGAGGCCGTGCCGCGGGTGGAGGAGCGGGGCGGGGCGGGCGCCGGTCGGGGCGGCGGTCCGGGGTCGGCCGAGCAGCAGCCGCGGCGAGGGCGTGAGGGCCGCGGCCCACCGGGCGGGAGGTGAGCAGTGTGGCGAGGCGGGCCGCGGGGAGCGCCGGGTCCACTCAGCGTCCGTCACCTGCCGGCTCTGCGAGGAGGGCCGGCAGGCCGGCGACACTTCGGCCTAAGTCCGGCCCGCGGCGGGAAGAGAGGCCGTGGCTGGCTGGGCCCGGAGGCCTCCCGGGAGGTGGCTCTCGGCTCAGCGGAGGGGGCGGGGGGGGACATGCTGGGGACGCTGGGAGGGATGGAGGTGGGCGAGGGGCTTCGGGAGAGGCGTCAGGGGCTCCGCGTCCACACCGGGGTACTCGCCGGGTGGGAGAGCGGGCACTGCCGACGAGAAGCCACCGGGACTTGGACACAGTTAACTTGAGAAGGAATACGGGGACGGAAATACGCTGGAAGTGGCCAGCTGGGGGAAATACTACTCTTCTCCATCTGGAAGGGCCGGGATGGAAGAGCGGAGAGTGAAGGTTTGATGAGCGGCGGGCCGGCCTCTCTGCCTGATGCAGGAAAGGGATGGTGCCGCCAAAGTCCTTGGAGCGGCTTCCATCTCTGCCAGTGTTTTACAGATGTGTGTGCCGCCCCTCCCTCCTTTCTTTTCGGTTTTGTGTGTATGTGATTGGAGAATAACTGAAGACATATTTCTGGAAGGTTGGCTTCTGATGACACAAGGGGGAATCGGTCGCTGTAGAAAATCTAGGCTATGTAGATAAGCAGCAAGAAGTAAGTTATTTGTCTCGGCTCAGCGTTTTTAGGGACCGAGTTTGTAGCTGCTGCTGGTTGGTTTCAGCCGCTTCACTATATCCTCTGCGGCCTGGAGATTGTGAACGGCCCGGAGAGATTTTTTCCGCAGTCGGACACTATCATTGAAGTGTAGCGGTTCAGCAGGGGGGAGAAAATCGGCCCCTTGTTTTCAGTGTGATCTGCAAAGCCTAGTGTTGGCTTTCTTCAGGTATAGTCATTGGTGCTTTGATCAAATCTAGAGCCTCTTTAGTAAAACAGTGGAAATGGAGGGATGAATAAGTTTTTTGCTCACTCGGGAAAATTAAATTGCAGCTGGGATTAAATAAGCTACGATGGAGGAAAAAAAAAAAGATCGCTAGAGAAACACAGTACTTGGACCTTAAGAAAGGCGTTTGCTCCTCCATTATCAAAATAGGAAAAAAAAAAAACTTTTTTAAAGTTGATGTGCCCATTGTAGATGGAGCAGATGTGCAGGTACACTGTGAATGAATGACGAAACTCAGGGCCGTGACGTTTGCCACCACCAGCGACTGGCATTTTAACTCCAGGTGTGTCCCAACCTACTCCTGAACTCATTCGCCATGTGATTTCTCTGCCTTTGCTTTTTATCTGCAACTGGGAGATCTGTATTCCAGTTTTTGGAAGCATTGAAGTTGGACAGATTGGACTGTCCATGTTTTTTTCTTAGTACTTTTCAAATAAATCCCAAGGTAAAGTACTTTTTATCTTAGACCCAGTGCAGAGATACAGCTGTGTAACACACTTAACAAAATAGCGCCTGGATGGCTCAGTTGTTAACTGTCTGCCTTTGGCTTAGGTCATGATCCCAGGGTCCTGGGATCGAGCCCCACCTTGGGCTCCCTGTTCCGCAGGAAGTCTGTTTCTCCCTCTCCCACACCCCATGCTTGTGTTTCTGCTCTTGCTGTCTCTTTCTGTCAAATAAATAAAATCTTAAAAAAAAAAAAAAAAAAGTGCTTGCTATTATGTGCATTCTGGGCTGGTATTTTCTTTTCTTTCCTTTTTTTTTTTTTTTTTTTTTTTTAAGATTTTTTTTATTTATTTGACAGAGAGCACAAATAGGCAGAGAGGCAGGCAGAGAGGGAGAAGGAGGCTCCCCGCTGAGCAGAGAGCCCTATGTGGGGCTTGATCCCAGGACCCCGAGATCATGACCTGAGCTGAAGGCAGGGGCTTTAACCCACTGAGCCACCCACGCGCCCCTGGGCTGGTATTTTCTATTCTACTGTTAAGTGCTGGTCATGACCTACAGACTTGATTTCCATACCTACTGTGGGTCAGCACTCAGTTTGGCAAGTGATGTTTTGTAGGATAGGCAAGGATTTCATGGAGCTGTTCTCAGCTGCATCACGATGTTAGCTGAGTTTTTAACTTTTTACTTTGTGGTGTCCTTCCTGGGTTCTAAGTTTGTTTTTTTTTTTAAGATTTTATTTATTTATTTGATAGGGAGAGATATCACAAGTAGGCAGAGCAGCAGGCAGAGAGAGGGAGAAGCAGGCTCCCTGCTGAGCAGAGAGCTTGATGTGGGGCTCGATCCCAGGACCCCTGAGATCATGACCCAAGCCGAAAGCAGAGGCTTAACCCACTGAGTCACCCAGGCACCCCCTGGGTTCTAAGATTTTTTTTTTTTTTAAGATTTTATTTATTTATTCGACAGAGAGATCACAAGTAGGCACAGAGGCAGGCCGAGAGAGAGAGAGAGAGAGAGAGAGAGAGAGAGAGGAGGGGAAGCAGGCTTCCTGCTGAGCAGAGAGCCCGATGCGGGGCTCGATCTCAGGACCCTGGGATCGTGACCTGAGCCGAAGGCAGAGGCTTAACCCACTGAGCCACCCAGGCGCCCCTAAGATTTTTATCCTTTGCTAGATTTGGCGGTCTTTTCCTTTCTTTTTTCCATTTTTAAAATTTTTAATTTTTTTTTTTTTAAGATTTTATTTACTTGACAGAGATCACAAGTAGGCAGGCAGGCAGAGAGAGAGGGGGAAGCAGGCTCCCTGCGGAGCGGAGAGCCAGATGTGGTGCTCATCCCAGGATCTGAGCTGAAGGCGGAGGCTTAATCCACTGAGCCACCCAGGCACCCCTGGCAGTCTTTTTTTTACTTTTTTTCTCAAGGTAGTCCAACATATCTGGTTAATGGGTGGAACGTGCCTGGTTGGTGTGCCTCAGGGTTCCAGAGTCGCTTGCATCTGTATGTTTTAGGTCATAGCCGGAGGACAGAGAATGATTCGTAACTAGAATGCATGCTTGATCTCACCAAATGTGTTTGCATTGAGATGAGATCCTGTAGGGCATCCTTCATTAGGAGAAGCCCTCTAATTTAGGACCATGTTTTGAATATTTGAAAGGATGAGAGATTAAACCACAAGCAGTGTTTTCATTTTCTTGCATACTTTGTATAACATTTGAATGGGGCAAAAACTGAATTGAGGGTCTAGCTCTTTACTAAGGACAGAGCAGTGATCTGCCATGCCGTGACACGTCACCACACCTCTGAATGGAAAGAGTCTTCCGTGATGGTGGGTGAGCGTCTTGGTGCTCCCAGAGAAGCGGGCGGGAAGCCTGTAGGTTGGGAGCATGTGTCCGGACACACTCCCTTCTATTCCTTCGTGAATCCTCCTTCTGTGAGGAGCAGTGTGGCCCCAGTGTTTGGTTTATCATTTGGGCTTCTTGGCGGTGTAAGCAAATGAATTTGTTTTTCCATGAAAGGACCTCGTGAGTGTGTCCTTCATCAGCCCTAAGTAGAGATTTTGGGAGAGTGGCTGGAATTCCAGTTCACACTGGAGCCAGTGGAGAGCAGAGTCAGGCTTTTTTTTTCCTGGTTACTTACTGTTTTCTGGTTGGTTCCAAAAGGTGTGGGAGATGGTAAATGAATTCATTAATGGGTTCTTTCTTTCTGTCTGTAAATTAACTCTTTTGTCATGATAACTGAAGACAAGTAGAAGCGACACTTAGAAAATTGGGACCAAGCAAGTGTGTTAATGGAGAGAAAAACTACACTGGCTGTTTTTCGCCCTCAGGTAAATGAGCTGAAAGAGAAGGGCAATAAGGCCCTGAGTGCGGGCAACATCGATGACGCGCTCCAGTGCTACTCGGAGGCCATTAAGTTAGACCCCAAGAACCACGTGCTCTACAGCAACCGCTCGGCGGCCTACGCCAAGAAGGGCGACTACCAGAAAGCCTATGAGGATGGCTGCAAGACCGTGGACTTGAAGCCTGACTGGGCCAAGGTAAGCTGTGGGCGCGCTGGGCTCTCCGGTGTGCTGGGTTTACACACGGGGCCCTCCTGACCCGGCCAGTTGTGTGTCGCTGTGGACGGATGGCGTCGTCCTCCCCGTCTGCGCGTGTGCCTCACGCTGACGGCACAGGCTGCCACGTCGGAGATCGCGTCCGTTGTTGGGCCGGGTCTTACCGCGTGTGCTGCTGAGAGAGAAGCGAGCACCGGCCAGGGTCCTGAGAGAAGCCACGGTGGGGAGGGGGCGTCTTCGATATGTGGCTGCAGTCGTCGTTCTCAGTCTCTTTGGCGGCGCGCGCTGCTGCTGCTGCTGTTCGGCCGTGGCGCGAACGCCCATTTGTCCTGTGAAATGTAGAACACGTTCTTCGGAGTTCATCTTATGGATTTGTCCCTAGGTGGCCTTTATTTTGTTTGTGTCCTTTTTTGCTGGTTTAAGGGCTATTCGCGGAAAGCAGCGGCTCTTGAGTTCTTAAACCGATTTGAAGAAGCCAAGCGAACCTACGAAGAGGGTTTAAAACATGAACCAAATAATCCTCAGCTCAGAGAGGGCTTACAGAACATGGAGGCCCGGCTGGCAGGTAGGCGCCAGTGCGCTGTTGGTTCGTTTTCTTTTTTTTAAGATTTTATTTATTTATTTGATAGAGATCACAAGTAGGCAGAGAGGCGGGCAGAGAGAGAGAGGGAAGCAGGCTCCCCGCTGGACAGAGAGCCCGATGCGGGGCTCAATAACAGGACCTTGAGGTCATGACCTGAGCCGAAGGCAGAGCCTTAACCCTCTGAGCCACCCAGGCGCCCTTCTTTTTCTTTTTTAACAGGGTTAACTTTGAGGTTCCCCATGTACATCAGGCTCAGAGGCTACAGGGGCGTCGTGGCTCAAACCGATTTCTATAACGTGCTTTCCTTTGTTTGGAACAGAGCGGAAGTTCATGAACCCTTTCAACATGCCTAATCTGTACCAGAAGTTGGAGAATGATCCCAGGACCAGGACGCTGCTCGCTGATCCCACCTACAGGGAGCTGATAGAGCAGCTACGAAATAAGCCGTCCGATCTGGGCACGTAAGTCAAGGCAGTGTGGTTTGCCTCCGGAAATGGACGTGAACATTGTGTTTTGTCCTGGAATGTTATGGCAGGGCACAGAGGGGGAGAGCGCCCCTCTTTCAGACAGCAGGGGTTCTGCTGTTCTTTTTTCTCTAATAAGCAGTAGGTATTCGTTGGTTTGTTGTTTTTTACTTCTGGAAAGGGTCAAGGGGTACATGTATCAGAATAATTTGGAATTTTCTTTTCTAAGTCTCCATCCGCCTTCACTGTTTTACTGTAATTCTGATCTGGTACCAACCCTGTCCTTCCCGTGCGCACCAGATGCTGTCTCTCGGCACACTGGAGCGGGAACTGCTGGTTGAGATGAGTGTCCGGTGTAAAAAGCTGTATTTCCTAAGTCAGGCTGGTGTCTGTGACTCCTGAGATGAGATGGAGTATACCTGTAGCTCAGTGCTCTGTGTATCTGCTGCCTTCAAGAAATAAGTTTGAGGGCTGGTACCTCGTCTTAGGCGGATTATTGGAGGGTGGGGTATCCCCAGGGGTGGCTTGTGGCCAGAGCACAACCTAGCAGTTTTTCTGTGGAGGAGATGCTCTCGTATACAGTGATTTGAGGCTTAGCAGTCAGTGGGGGTTTAAAATCAGTTGCAGGGAAGAATAACTGCGTTTTCTTTTCTTTTTTTCTTTTTCTTTTCTTTTCTTTTCTTTTTTTTTTTTTTTTTAAATCAACGCTAGGAAACTGCAAGATCCCCGGATCATGACCACTCTCAGCGTCCTGCTGGGAGTGGACCTGGGCAGTATGGACGAGGAGGAGGAAGTGGGAACGCCTCCCCCACCTCCTCCTCCCAAGAAGGACACCAAGCCAGAGCCGATGGAAGAAGATCTCCCAGAGAACAAGAAGCAGGTCTCGTTTTTTCTCCTTACTGTCAACATTCCTAAACAGGCTAGTCAGCTGGCAGTCCCCGCCAGCGGGAGCGCGGTGGGTTGGGGCGGCTCTAACAGTTATTGAGCGTCTGGTCGCCGTCGTCATGGGAACGGTCAGTGTGTAAAAAGGTTGACTTGCCAAGCCATCTCATAAGCATGGGGGATCTCGGGCTAGCGGCCCGGGTGCTGGTCAGGGCAGGCCGGTAGAGTTGTGTGTGCGACCCTTGTCCCCCTGGGGTCGAGGAATGTCTATGCATCTGACTGAGGCTCCTGTGTTCTGGTGGATGGGCGTGTAGTTGAAAGTTGTCCAATTAGCAACACAGTCTTCCAGAGCGGGAGGCATGTGCTTACACGATTTTATTTCCCTCCTTATAAATGGGAACAGCAGATTGTTTCCAGATTTAGCACCTTCAGTTGGGTACGCATTCGTTGTTCAGGGTGTCTCAGAGCTGGAAAAGGGCCCCGTGATGCGAGTGGTAGCGCGCTGTTCTCTGAAGACCTGTGCCCTTGGGTGGGCAGCCCCTTCTCGTCCTCTCCCTAACCCTCTGCTGCTGTTTGCTGAAGACCCCCGGCCCCTGGGCGGCCCCTTCTTGTCCCCTCCTCGCCCCTTTGCTGCTGTCCTCTCACAGTGGAGACCCCAAGGTGGCTGCGCAGCAGGAACTGACTTGGCGCAGCCTCTCGCAGTAAAACCGGGTGCAGGGCTTCTGTCCTCTTGGAGGTTGGTGCAGGCTGGAGGGGTTTCCTCTCCCCTGGAGAAGCTCTCTGCTTTTCGACAGCATCAAGGAGAGTAGATGGAAAAGGGGGCATTTCAGAGGAGCGTTTCAGAGGAAGTGGAGATGAAAGTTTTTTTTTTTTTGTTTTGTTTTGTTTTTTTAAAGATTTTATTTATTTATTTGACAGACTGATCACAAGTAGTCGGAGAGGCAGGCAGAGAGAGAGGGGGAAGCAGGCTCCGCGTGGGGCTCGATCCCAGGACCCTGGGATCATGACCTGAGCCGAAGGCAGAGGCTTTAACCCACTGAGCCACCCAGGCACCCAGGAGATGAAAGTTTTTAGTTTTCTGTTCCAGCAGTTAGCCCTTCCCTTCTCAGTCCGTAGCTGGTTGAGGAGAGGCCAGCAAATGTGGAGACTGGTTTGTTGTACGTGCTGTGCGGGACCGGGGATAGGTCCCAGGCTCTTGCTCTCTTTGCCATCTGGGTTTGATTTGCTCAGTACTCCTTCCACGCTTCCATCTAGGCGCTGAAAGAGAAGGAGCTGGGGAATGAGGCCTACAAGAAGAAAGACTTCGACACAGCCCTGAAGCACTACGACAGAGCCAAGGACCTGGACCCCACCAACATGACGTACATGACCAACCAAGCAGGTGAGGCCCAGGCCGAGGGGTAGGCGCGTCGTCGGCGGTCCTGGGGAGAGACCAGGACTGACTCTTCCTTAACCGTCCTGCCTGGCAGCTGTGTACTTCGAGAAGGGTGACTACAGTAAATGCCGGGAGCTTTGTGAGAAGGCCATCGAAGTGGGGCGCGAAAACCGAGAAGACTATCGACAGATTGCCAAGTACGCGCGCCCTTCGGCTGTGCCTCGCGTGGTGTGGAGGGGTCGATGGCCGAGACTTAAATGTTCCTGCATGGGGAGGAGGGTTGCTGGCCACACAACCTGCTCTGTTAACAGTGGCCTGGAGAGGAGGCCGCAGGCATCGAGACAAAAGGTGTTTGGAGGGTGTAGTGTCCCAGCAGTGATGGGGGCCTTGTTCCTAGTTGCCGCTGTCTTTGCTCTGCAGGAGCTGACCTTGGCCCTGCTCTGCCCTTAGCAAATTCTTCTCTTGCTTGTTTTTGTCAGAGCTTACGCTCGAATTGGCAATTCCTACTTCAAAGAAGAAAAGTACAAGGATGCCATCCATTTCTATAACAAGTCTTTGGCAGAACACAGAACCCCAGATGTGCTCAAGAAGTGCCAGCAGGTAGGTACGGAAAGAACAAGGACCTTCTCTCAAATTGTTACTTCTTACAGTTGCAGCTGTTTGTTAGCAAACCTGAAGTTTGTGGAAGTAGTGTTTTTGGTCTAGAGTTTTATATAACGTCCTTGTCATTTGACAGCAGTAAGGAATAAAGTGGGTTGTTTGCTGTACTTTTTTACTGGCCAAGATTTTGACCTTCCGCTGAGGGTCAGTGCACTGAGTGTTATGGTTCTTATTCTAACTTTTTTTTTTTTTTTTTTAACCTTACACAACCAAAGTGTGTGTTGTGTGCCAGTTGTCATAAAGTGTGGTGGGAGCGGTGATTTTATTCACGAAAAGATTGGTCAGAATTTTTTTTTTTTTTTTTTTTTTTTTAAGTATCATTTTTTTGGGGGGCGCCTGGGTGGCTCAGTGGGTTAAGCCTCTGCCTTCAGCTCAGGTCATGATCTCAGGGTCCTGGGATCGAGCCCCGCATTGGGCTCTTCTCATCGGGGAGTCTGCTTCCCCTCCTCTCTTTCTGTCTGCCTCTCTGCCTACTTGTGATCTCTCTCTCTGCTAAATAAGTAAGTAAAATCTTTAAAAAAAAAAAAAAATGATGTCATTTATTTGGGAGAGTGCTTCTGCACACATGAATGGGAAAAGGGGCCGAGGAAGAGGGAGAAGCAGCCCCATGCAGGGCTCAGTCCCAAAACTCTGGGATCATGACTTGAACAAAGTCAGACACTTAACCGACTGAGCCACCCAGGCGCCCCAAGAATGGTCAGAAAATTTTGTTTTGGACACATGGATTATTTTTATTGTCTTGCTTGTCTTTTTTGTTGTGTTTTGTATGGGGTTGGTTTTGTTTTATTTTGGTTTTTTTGTTTGTTTGTTTGTTTGTTTTGTTTGTTTGTTTTGACGGAGGGTCAGAGGTGAATAGAGAGACTCTTCAGGCTCCAGCCCAGTCTAAGCCGAAACCAAAACAGTTGGACGTTTAACCCAATGAGCTACCCAGGCACTCCACAGTGTTCCTTGATAATGAGGAATGTGTCATTTTTTAAGTAATGTCTGCACCCTGTGTGGGGCATGAACTCAACCCCGAGATAAGACTTGCATGCTTTTTGAACAAAAACTAAAATGTTGCCCATGGTACTTTTTGGAAATCAGAGTCCAAATCAGGACTTTTTTAGTGCAGTATTTATATTCGTGAGAATTAAAATGATTATCCAAAGGATTATCTTTTCTTAGGCGGAGAAAATTCTGAAGGAGCAAGAGCGGCTGGCTTACATAAACCCTGACCTGGCCTTGGAGGAGAAGAACAAAGGCAATGAATGTTTTCAGAAAGGTGCGGTACAGCTCAGGCGAGGGAGCATTTGGATGAGAGCTGTGCAGGCCTGTCCCCTGCCCTGGCTGCCTGTGCGCCGTAGTCCCTGGTGTGTGTGTTGGGGGGGGTGCTTTTTGCTTCCTAAAAAAGTTTCTTTTTCTTATTCAGGGGACTATCCCCAGGCCATGAAGCATTACACAGAAGCCATCAAGCGGAATCCAAAAGATGCCAAATTGTACAGCAATCGAGCCGCCTGCTACACCAAACTCCTGGAGTTCCAGCTGGCGCTCAAGGTGGGCAAGTGGGGACGCAGAGTGGCCGCGTCTGATTCGCCTGCGCGTGAGGAGCGCGGGCTTCCCGCTTCCCGCGTTGTCATCAATACCCACTGGAGGCTCTTCCCTTGATCTTAGAGTCAGGGTGGTGGGGTATGTGCGATGTTTGTAAAATGCGGGATCGAAGTCTGCTCTGTCCTGGCCCTTGAAGCTACATTAGTGATTGGGAGCATTTGGAAAAGTGGATCCTGGGGGAGCCTGGGGGGCTCCATCAGATAAAGCTTGTGGCTTCACTCAGGTCACGATCCCAGGGTCCTGGGATGGAGCCCCGGGCGGGCTCCCTGCTCAGCGTGGAGCCTGCGTCCCCCTCTGCCCTTCCCACCCGCTCCTCCCCCGGGTGTGTACACTCCTTCACTCATTTGCTCTCAAAAAAAATCTTTAAAAGAAAAGTGGATCCTTTTCCACCTTCTCTGATGCTAGCTGCTGCTTCCTTCGTGATCCCCCTCTTCTCTATCCTGAGCTGCTCAGCGTGCACGGCCGTGGTACCCAGCATGTTCGCACTGCGCACAGCCCTCCGCACTGTGCACCTCCGGAACCTCGTCATCTTCCCAAACTGGAACCGCATCCTTTCTGCACTAACTCCCCGTTCCCTCTCCCTCGGCCCCCGGGACAGAACAGCCACTGTTCTGCTCTGTCTCTGTGAAGCTGACCCCTCTAGGAACCTTCTGGAAGTGGGACCGTCCAGTGCATGTGCTTTCGTGTCAGGCTCATTCCACGAGCACCGTGTCTTCAAGGTCCTGTGGTAGCCGAGGTCCGCGTCGTCTTCCTTCTGAGCACTCAGCTGTTCGTTGCACAGACCCGCCCCCCTGCTGTCCCTCCTCTGTGCTCCGTTGGTGGACTCAGTGGCAGTTTCCCCCTTGTGGCTACTGGGGTCCTGCAACCATGGCTGGGGCCATGCAGTGCCTGTTGGGGCCTCAGCTTCAGTTCTTTGGGGGTGAAGTGCTGTGTCACTGAGTGGTTCAAGATTTGGATTTTTTTTTTAATTATTTTTATTTATATATTCTTTGGGGGACCGCAGTATTGTTTCCCACAGTGGCTTTATCATCTGCCCTGACTTCTTGATGAGGTCAGTTAGCCCGTGTGCTGTTCTCGGTCTCGCTGAGCGTGGTCAGGTGTGGTTCTTTCTGCACCGGGAAGGGGGTTTGTCCCCACTCTCTGGACGAACTGGACAGCCTGGACGAACTGGACAGGGGCACTGGACAGCCCCTGTTGGTGAGTTTTAAACTGTTCTCCAGGTGATTTTTAAAATGTTGTCCAAGCTTGGAGCACCTCTTTTTTTTTTTTTTTTTTTTTTTTTCCTTTTTGGGTTAAAGATCTTGTTTTTATATTTGAGTGCCGGGTGGCTCAGATGGTTAAGCATCTGCCTTCAGCTCAGGTCATGATCCCCAGGTCTTGGGATCGAGCCCCATGTCAGGTTCCCAGTTCAGCGGGGTATTTGCTTCTCCCTCTCCCCTTGATTCTCCTCAGTTGCATTCTCTTCCTACCTCTCAAATATATGAATAAATTAGATTTTATTTACATGGGAGGGGTGGAGAGAGAACATGTGTGGCAGGAGGAGCAGAGGGAGAAGCAGACGCCCCTTGGAGCAGGAAGCTGTATGCGCTGGAGACCAGGACCCAGGTGCCCCAAGTCCAGAGCACCTTACTACTGTAAGGTGACAAAATGTGACTTGTGCGGAGACCCCCAATACCTGCGTCCGTGATAGTTTTTGTTGTTGATGCCACTGTGTTCTGGGCCCTTGTCTGGTTTTTAGAGATGTCACTGCTGTGGCATAAGGGCGACATCAGAGCCAGGTTGTTTCGCCAGGTGGCCACCTATGAGGGAGAGCGCTGCTTCCCCAGCTATGAGCCGGACCATTTCTGGGCTGGCTTTATGACAGAAAAGGTGGACGTGGGCCTGGGTGTGAAACGATAGTGTATGGCATTTTTTTCCCCAGAATTTCCCATTTCATAAGCACTTCAAACAAAAATACCCAAGCACCTGTGCGTCCTCCACCTCTTTGATCGGCGTGGACGAGTTTTTGCCAGACCGTTTGTGAAAGGAAGTGGAATACGTTTGGCACTCCACGCCTCCGCTCTAGAGTGCTCTTTTCCTGAGGTGTCTTTAAAGCACCTGATAATAGCGGGATGAAGGTCGGGAGGCTGGGTGCTGTGGGCCCCTTCAGATCTCCCCACTTGGCCAAAACTGCACATTAAAGCTGTCGTGATTGAGGCCCATGTTTTCATCTGGTTCCACGCGTGTTTCTCTCTCAGACTAGAAGTTTCCCCATTGTTGGCAGGATTTTGCATAATGTCACCTTTTTGAAGAGTCCGGGCTCCTTGTCTTCCTTGGGGTGGTCCATAGTCGGGATTTGTCGACCCTCGTGGTTTCACTTGACTTGCTTTTCTATCCTCTGCTGGACCTTCTGTGAAAGGGCCTGGGGGTCCAGGTTAACAAGCTCGGGAAGCGAGACGACACTGTCGTGGGTCTGGGCGGCGTGTGTGGTCGGCTGTTCTGAGTGATCCCTCTGCCTTGAAAAAGCTCGTTGGAAGGAGCAAGCCTCACTTTCTCCTCTTCTCTCTCTTTCCAGGACTGTGAGGAGTGTATCCAGCTGGAACCGACCTTCAGTAAGTGCTTTTCCACTGCCGCCCCCGCCCGTGACCCTGGCGCAGAGATGGAGAGCGGGAAAGGACATGCTTGCCTGCCTGCGCCCCGGGGCAGGGGGTTGGGAGCTAGCATCCGCAGGCCTGACAGATACTGAGGTTCCCCAGGGCAAGGTGGGCATGGGAGCCTGCAAAGCCCCATTCTGATGACGCCTCACCTTTCCCACTTCCCTGTAGTCAAGGGCTACACCCGGAAGGCAGCTGCGCTGGAGGCCATGAAGGACTACACGAAAGCCATGGACGTCTACCAGAAGGCCTTAGATCTGGACTCCAGCTGTAAGGTGGGGCTGCTCCTGGCCACCAGGGGGCTCTCCCTGCCCCCATTTCTCCTTGGATCTTTTCAGTGTTGGTTCGCTCCTGCTTCCTTCTGCCTGTTTGTCTGGCCTACTGTCTCCCCCCTTCTCAGTTCCCTCTGTTAGCTGGCCTGGTGGAAGCAGTGAAGCGGTCAGCGCTAATGCTCCCCTCTCTGGCTTTGCTGGGGTGCAGGAGGCGGCGGACGGTTACCAGCGCTGTGTGATGGCCCAGTACAACCGCCACGACAGCCCCGAAGACGTGAAGCGACGGGCCATGGCCGACCCCGAGGTGCAGCAGATCATGAGCGACCCGGCCATGCGGCTCATCCTGGAGCAGATGCAGAAGGACCCCCAGGCGCTCAGCGAGTAAGTGAGGCTGGGGAAGATGGAGACAGGAAGGCTAGCAGCAAGGGGCACGAGGCTGGGGCGGTGGGGGCTACTGTGTCTGGCTTGCGCACAGCTGGATCGCCATGATCGCTGGAGCGCTCCGCTGGAAAGACCGGTTTTGCTGGGAGAGCGGCCTCAGCTTCAAGCTGTGTCCGAGGGTTTGTGCGGAGTGGGGCTGGCGCGGCGCTGCCTGCGGGCTGGCCAAGGCCTTCCCGGAGGCGTCTTCGCCAGGCCTCCCATTCGGCCGCCTCCTATTGGGCCTTGCACGGGGTTCGCATTCGGCTGTCTCCGAGAGCAAGTAAGACGTTTTTAGGTTAAGTCTCATTTCTGACTATTTCGCTTTTCGTTCATTAGACACTTGAAGAATCCTGTAATAGCACAGAAGATCCAGAAGCTGATGGATGTGGGTCTGATCGCAATTCGGTGATGACTCGCTCATCATCCCCTCCCTTCGCCCTCATGTGGAAAGAGGAGCTGGGACCGCGGCAAGCAGCGCGGAGCAGAGGGGAGAGCAGGGGAGAACGAACAGCTTCTCTCTATATATTTATATAGACCTACGTGGAAGATAGAGACTCGTGTTTGCGTTACTCGCACCGCCGCTGCCTCTGGGCCCTCCCAGCACACGCATGGTCTCTTCCGCTGCCCTTGGGTTCCCTGTTCCCTTCCCCGCCCTCCGTCGCCGTCTCAGCTGCTCTCCCATAGTTGGTTATTTTTTATTTGGGGCAGTGGGCATGTGTGGGGAGGGGAGGCTGTTCTTCCCCGACCTCCGGTCCCAGCTGTCGTCACATTGTTAACTCCACGTGCCCTTCTCCAATAAAACAAGCCAGTCGGGCGTGGTTATACATTGTCATGTCCTTGTAATTTTTTTTTGCCAAGTGACCCTGAAGTGCCTGTCCCGCAGGGGTTAGAGCCTGAACTGTGTGAGAGGTGGGAGTGTCCACTGCCTGGCTGCTTTTCCAGAGGGGTGGGTCTGTGTCCCCTCTGTGTGCCTCGGTCACTAGGTGGCACTGTCGCCCAGCGAGCTGCTGGAAGGGAGCCTGGGGCCTTCCCTGCCCAGAGTGGCGCCAGCTCCAGAGGTCCAGGTCCACATTCAGGTGCTTTCCCGCCCTGTCCATTCTTCACACTCTGCTCTCAGAACCAGAAACCAGCTAGATCAGGAACGCTGGGTCCCACCCCAGAACCCAAACTCGTTTCCCATTGGTAGAGTCTTCAGACCTCTGTCTCCAGAGACCAGATCTGCCAGCGGCTCCACGAGAACAGTCTTAGTTTTTATTTTATTATTATTTTTAAAGATTTTATTCATTTATTTGACAGAGATCGCAAGTAGGCAGAGAGGCAGGTGGGGGGCGGGGGGGGGAAGCAGGCTCCCTGCTGAGCAGAGAGCCCGATGTGGGGCTCCATCCCAGGACCCTGAGATCATGACCCGAGCTGAAGGCAGAGGCTTTAACCCACTGAGCCACCCAGGCGCCCCAACAGCCTTAGTTTTTAAAGAACTCCCTGCTCCTGAGGTGCCTGGGAGGCTGTCAGTTGGTCGTCCGAGTCTTGGTTTCAGCTCAAGTCATGATCACAGGGACCTCGGATCAAGCCCTGGGTGGGCTCTGCGCTCAGCCGGGAACCCGTTTGAGGATTCTCTCCCTCTGCACACACAGGTTCTCTCTCAAATAAATCTTTTTAAAAAAACCACTCACTGCTCTCTCTCTCAGCTCTTTGCTCAGAGGAGGCTCCTCTGCACCTTTCCTCAAATCCCGGTTCATCCTGCACCGGCTGCCTCCACCGGGCAGCCTGAAGTTTAACCCCGGTGAGGTCAAAGTCCCGTACCTGACGTGCTCTGGTGGGGGTACTGTCTGCCCTGGGCCCCTGTCTGTTGGCCCCACTGTCACCAAAAAAGGTCAGTGATGACATGGCCAAGGCAGCCAGTGATTGGAAGGGCCTGAGAATGACCGTGAGGCTGTTGAGGACAGGCCCAGGTCCTGGCGGGACCTTGGGCTGCTGCCTGGATGATCACAGTCCTCAAGGAACCGCCGAGAGGCAGAAGAACATTAAGCCCAGTCCCAATCCTCACTTATCCTGTCAACATTGCCCGACAGATGCAGCCCCGGTCTTCGGCTAGAGAATTCTCTGGAACCATCGAAGAGGTCCTAGAGACTGCCCAGGCCGTGGGCTGCAGCGTGTGGTGCCCAGCCAGTGGAGAAGTACCAAGGACAACACTTCCATAAAGGATCGTTTGACAACCAAAAAAAACGCCTCACTGCTCAACTGAAAGGTTTTTGATTACACTTGAGCGTGGTTACAGCGAGTGATTTCTACAGCCCTGGACTGGGGTGGGAGTAAGACTTCCTTATTTGCTCCAACAGCACAGCTTTCTGAGCTGGGCAGCTGCTGAGGCCAGCAGCCGGGGCACTTCCTGCCGCCTTGACTTTGCATACGCTGGCCTTCCCCTGGGAATCTCCAGCAGGCCCCTTCCTCCCTCTGGGTGGCAAGTGTAGAAAGCCTCCTCTCCGTGGGCGTTCTGCTGTTCCTGGTGCTCCTGACGCTCTTCTGGCTCTGTTCCCTCGGGCCCCAAACGGATTCTCTCTGGAAGGGCTCCCGTTCCTGCCGGGGGCCAGCAGCGAGCACCAGGCCTCTCTGCTCTACCAAAGCTGACCTCCCCGTGCCGGTGGTGGGACCCTCCAGAGTCACATTTGAGTAGGGACTTGACGGGAGTGACCCTTGGGGTACTCGGGGGGAGCCGGAATGTCACGTGGAGGGGCCGAGGGGAGGTGACAGGTTGGAAGCCTTGAACCCTGGAGGGGTAGGGCAAGAGGTTGTGGATGACCAGCGCCCCATTCCTGTTCAGCTGTTGCCCTGGGCAGCTCAAAGGTCTACATGTTTGGAAATTGAGGCCAGCACTGGGGACAGGAAAGACTTAAGGAAGTTGTTCCCCTCGGGGTCTTTTTTAAGGATCTACTTCTTGGTGATAAGGGACCTACCCGACTGGAGCTCGCTTGAACTTCCAGCTTCCTAAATTACCTGGACCCCAGGCTTCCCTTGTGTGGCTTTCCCTCATGACAGCACAGTGATGTGCTGTGACCCACAGCCCCCCACCTCCCACTTTGTGACAGGCTGGATGTGGGAGATGACTTCCGACAGGGGACAATGGGTGTAGAGAACAGGAGTTGGTGACTTTCCTGGTTTGAACCGAGCTGCTTCCCTCCAGAAGAGGGGACACTTGGTGCGGTGGTGGGCCCCTGGCCTGCTCTTCCCTTGCTTCCTGTACTCCCCAGGAACAAAGGTGGGGCCCGTGAACAGGAGCCCTTGGGGCACCGGAGCCCTTGGGGCGTGCTGTTGACTGGCTTCCTGCACCAGGCCAGCCCGCCCTGGGGAGGGGCTGAGCCCGCCCTCACGATAAGGACTGCCCTCGCTCCGGGAAGCTCGAAAAGAAAGCAAAGGGGGAAGGAGTCCTTCACTGAGCCGCAGGTGTTCAGACTGAGGCCGGGAGTGGCTGACACTCCAAGCCACCCCCGCACCTGCAGCCCCCAAACCCTTACAGGCAAGGTAAGCTGGGGCGGCGGCTGAAGGCGCAAGGACCCCGTTTCCAAACCCTCCTGCAGAGCCGCGCTGCTCAGCACGCCTCTGCCCATGCGGCAGCCCGGACTTCTCGGCGCCCTAGAGAGGCCTTGGTTGGCTTGGGATGTCAGGACCCGAGCTTTGGGCCAGGAGTGGGAGTTATTTTCTGACTTGGGTCCCCCACCATTTCCAGGCCTCAGCAGCTGCCAGTATAGACTCGGGGGTGACGTGGGCTGGGGAAGCAGATGGAGGTTGTGCCAGGTTCTGGCATCAAGCCTGGTGATCTTGAGCGAGCCTCTTCTTACTCGTTCCGGGCCTCAGTCTTCCTGTCTGTAAGATGGGAGTGGGCTGGAAGCACTGTGCGGCTAAACCACCGGTAACGGCGAGAGGCTCTGAGGCCTGTGTCTCGAGGCTGCCGTGACATCCTGGCCCATGGGTGTGCTCTCTGCTTTCCTGCCTGTCCAGGTCACCAAACGCCACTTCTACTCAAACGTGGGCAGCCTCTGAGGCCCCAGCACCCTGCCTCCTTCCCCACCCTCTGCAGAGCTGCCGCAGCCATGGCGGGGATGAAGACGGCCACCGGGGACTACATCGACTCGTCCTGGGAGCTGCAGGTGTTTGTGGGAGAGGAGGACCCCGAGGCCGAGTCTGTCACCCTCCGGGTCACGGGAGAGTCGCACATCGGCGGGGTGCTCCTAAAGATAGTGGAGGAGATCAGTGAGTGTCCCATGGCCCCTGCTGCTGACCTCAGCGCCACGGGGCCGCTGTGACTGGGTCCGAGGGCACTTCCGGGCCACCCGACTGTGCTGTGCTCGATAACCCCGCCACAGTGACTCAGGCACCCGCTTAATCATTTGGTTCCAAAAAAGACATTTCCCCAACTTCCCCTCCCTCCCGCAATCTTCCCTCCCTTCCTCCTGCTCCTGCTGGTTCTGCTAAGTCCCCAGGGAGCAGACCCAGCCACGGGCTGTTCACCCATGTCTGGGGCAGGAGGGGCCTGGCCTCGGGCTAAGGCAGAGGCTACATTTGAGGTCTCGGGGGAGACCAGGGGACGCGGGACTGGCTCCCATACCCTCTCCCCAGAGCGGAAGCCCTCCGCAGGCTGGTGACGGGCCTAGCCTGGGTGGGAAGGCCCTGCCCCCACAGGAAGTTACAGTAGGGCAGCCTGTGGTATCAGGCGTGGAGAAGAGCAGGGCTAGTGACACGGGGGCTTCTCATCCCCTTTCCCTGCCCAGAGGTCAGGGCTGCCCCTTCCTGGGAGGGCAGCAGGCCCACCCGGGTAGGCAGAGCCAGAAGGCAAGCCCACAATCATTTTAGCCCCTGGCTCCTGGGTCCTGGGCCACCTGCGGGAGGCAGGGGCAGACAGGCCTCCTCACCGCTGGCCAACCCGCCACGTACGGCCTGCGAGCCAGGTGGGCTGGCTTGTGGACGGGCAGGGCCCGGGACAACCCAGCCATGAGGCCGAGGTAGTGAAGGAGCTTCCAACAGGCCGGGCCCAAGGAGGCTGTGAAAGCAGAAGTGGGAAACAGAGGGTCCCTCAGGAGCTGGGGCATCAGGCCAAGCTGTAGACAGGCGTGGGCTGAGCCAGGGCAGAGGGGCTAAAGAGATAGGGCCCCAAGGGGAGACCATGCACAAGGCCTAAATAAGGAGTCAGGCGGGCAGGTGGGCAGAGCTGATCCCCACACCTGCTGCTGGGTACCCCCCCGGCAGTAAGTCCCTTCAGCTTCTGTCCCCTGCAGTGGGGACATTGTCCCCGCCCTTCCCAATCCCGCTCATTCCTGAGTGTATCAGATGTCCACTGAGGCTCTGTCAGGCCAGACCCCACGCCACGCCAGCCCCTGCCTTCCTGGAGTAAGGCCAGGCGGGTGAGACCAACCATCCAGCTCCCAGCACGGGGCTGAATGGAGGCCTTGGCACCAGAGGTGAGAGCACAGGGCCTGGAGCCAGAGGGGGTGCACGCAGCTAGGACGGGGAGACTCCCTAGCAGAGTCCCGAGAGGAGCTGCCGTGCAGGGGGGTAGGGGCAAGGTGTGATGTTGGAGCGCGGGGGTGTTCTGAACTTGGGCATGACCAGAAAAGAGGTTGGGGTGGCTGCCTTTAGGAGTTTAGACTCCTGGAGGCAGAAGCGACCCCGAAGGGTTTTCAGCCACTTACCTCTAGACAGGCCCCTCGGCTTAGGGGTGAGCTGGAGGCAGGGAGACAATCCTCCTATGCTGGGTGGTGAGGACAGACTGGAGAGTGGCTTTTGGAAGTGAGATGGGCATCAATGAAATGTGGGGACTAAAAGTGGAAGGGAG